GATATTAATCACCTTTATATCCCTCGACCAATTAGAATCTTATCTGCATTGACCAATCATAATCATAAAATTTTCACGTGATTTGCCTCCGCTTTAGACGTCCCCCTAATCAGGTGTAAATGCACATTCTTTTGAGGCTACAGCATGCTAATTATTCTGACAGATTCACTTTTCAGGCATTATTGAGATCTTGTGTTTGAGATAAATTTGCATTCCAACATTGAAATATTAGTAATATTTTGTAATTAGTCTAACCTTTTAATTCATATAAATATTCATATCGTCATACATGTAACTTTGTGCGTAATAAAATAAAGCATAACGATTACGTTTTGCATTCCACATTAACATTAATCATTTCATAATAAGGTTATTACGTGTAGAGCTTATTATAATGAAATGATTAGTATTATTTTTCTATTGAAAGTTATTAGACTCCAGCTTGTTATCTTTATACATTCTCTTTAAATGCACATTTTATCTTTATACATTCTCTTTAAATGCACATTTTGACAAATTACAGTCATCTCTCCCTAGATGCACACCACCCAGAACCATAAAACTAATTTATCAAAATGTGCATTTAAAGAGAATGTGCATTTAGAGAGAGTAAATTTATAAGAGTCTTATAAGTTTGGGACTGAATTAGGGTGTGCATTTAAAGAAAGTATGTGCGCATTTATGAAATGTACATTTGGGGGGTTTGACTGTATGTAGATTACGAATGTAGGATAATAGTATTAGTATGGCACGAGACATATAAAACGTTGTTCTCGTAGAAATCTTAGAAAGAGAAACCATTGACTTAATTCACAAACTAACTATATTGTTTAAAATGCCCAATTCATTTGTTACAGCAAGTACAAGTAGTGCGCTGGAAGGGATAACAGTCGTTGCTGGAAGTGCAGGAAAAGTCACAAATTTTGCAGCATTTGCTCCATTGATCACCGATGTATCGAAATTAGTTGAAGAAACCGTAAATCTCTACCAAACTGCCGAACACAATAAACGTGTTTGTGGTGTACTATTGGATCGTATGATTGCGGCAGAAGCTGCCGTGAAGAATCTCAAAATACATCAAAGTGAATATCTTGAATTCTTTAAAAACATTAATAATTTTATAACTTTTCAGAAGCTTAAAAATACGATCGAAGGAACCAAACGATTTATTTCAGAAATTTCACAAATGAAGGGTCTAAGGAAATTTACGACTGGCGTATCACAAACTAATCAGATCAAAAGAAAGTTTGAAGAATTGACGTTAGAATTTGATGGGCTTATGGCACAATTGCATTTTACTATCACTATTGATGCCAGGTCACAACAGCGAAAAGATCATGAAGTAATTGAACAAGACATGGAGGATTTAAAGAATGCATGTATCAATTGATTAATAATTATTATTTATTGAATTTTCAATAATACTTATTAAAGACTACATTTATTTCATAGTACCTTGATACAATTAATGGTGGTATTGTAACTCATCATGATGAAATTTCATTTGACATCGAAGGAATACAAGCACTAAATTCACTTTATCAAAGGCAACAAAAACAACAAGCCATAAACATGCAACAAATAAATGTATTAGAAATTATTGGAGATAAGCCATTGGATATTAATAAATTTTTTCCAGCAAGAGAAGAAAATAATGAAGGAAAAGTGCAAAAACGCAGAAGAAAATTAGATAATAAAGATGTGGCATTCAAAATGGTGGCCTTGGTGGAGGAGCCGGAATCAAATATTCAAGTAACAATTCTAAAGAAACTATGCAAATCCCCAAATATCATTCAATTCTATGGCTTGGCAAATGAAGGCACTAAAAAGTATTTAGTCACTGAATGGGCGCAATATGGAAATCTTCGAGAATTCTATACGCAACACCCTAATTTGTTTGATTGGAAAAGAAAGATTGAATTTGCCCTGGATATTTGTCGTGGATTATCTTATCTTCAAGCAGTCGACATTATTCATCATGACATCCGAAGTGAAAATATTTTCATTTGCGATGGTTATAAAGCAAAAATCGGAAATTTTCGTCTCTCGAGAGGGCTTAGTGAAGCCACAAGAAATATTAGAGCAAATGTTGATAGTGTACGTTATATGGCGCCTGAGAAATTAAGTAATCGAAAATATTATTATGAATCTAAGTGTGAGATTTACAGGTATTTGTCTTTATTTTTTTTTATTATAAATTATCCTTTATACAGTATGTTAAGATTTTTCTCATATCATAATCGTTAGCTTTGGGATATTACTGTGGGAAATAGCAGAAGCAAAAAGACCTCATGAAGATATTCTGTATGATATTGTCAAAATACGTCAGAGGGTAGTTAATGACAAATATTGAGAACCCTTCTCTAATCCAAATATACCACGTGAATATAAACAAATAGTAAACAAAGGTTTGCTTATTATATTTATGTTTTATTCATTAAGTTTAGAAACAATAATTCATATTAATCGAGAATTCTATTAGTTGTCCACGACGAACCCATCATGCGACCTTCAATAACTGATCTCTTTAAAACGCTTTATCCTATTTGGTTAAAAACACAGACACCTCCGTCACCTAAGATAAGGCATGCTAATGTAGAAAGTCATCAAACTCAACAAGATGACGACCAGCAAGACGAAGATGAACCCAAATTTCCAGAAGAATTAGTAATTGTAACCCCTAAGATACCATTATCTGATGCTATCAAAGAACACAAAAAGAAAAACAAACAGCTTGCATGGACAACATTTAATGAATATAAGGCCATTGGAGATCCCCTTGGAAAATATTGGGTCGGATACTACCTTTACTACAACATTCTTGAATGGTCCGAAGCAGAAAAATCTAAAGAACAGCGATTACGTGAGGCAGCAAACTTATTCAAACAGGCAGCAAATGACTGTGAAATCCCGGAAGCTGAACTTCGATATGGTTATTGTCTATGGAATGGAGATGGCGTTGAAAAAGATGTTTCACATGCATTGAATTATTTCATTCGGTCGGCTGATCATGGGAATGTCATTGCGTTGGGAATTCATACTATAATGGATTAGGAACGAAAAAAGATCAGAAGAAAGGAGAAGAATATTTGAAATTAGCCGCATATCATGGACATCAAGAATCTACGAAAATATGCAAAACGAATGGTATTGAATTGTAAATCATCAATTATTCTATTTATCTGTTGCTGTCGCAACGCGAAATCTCGTGATTGCAAAATTCTGAGATGATCTTAATTTTGTATGTAGTACCTACTGTATAATGTGTTATGAAATAATTATTCCCCCTATCGCTATTGCTATCTGAGCAAAATTCTAACAAAAATTTGTACCTTGTAACATCAAATTATACTTTGTGATATCAATTCAACACTAATAATAAGAATTTACTTTGCACTTCTAAGAATGTGATTATCATTAGAAATTAATACAAACGTTCATATCATACGTTTTTCTATGGATTTTTACTAGATTCATATCAACTTTTTTGCATCCTCATAATAATTCTTATTCTTATAGTTACATACGATTTTATGATATATTAGATTTCTAAAATTCTTACAAAACTCATACTTTGTACGTTAATGTTCTTATATATAATTTCCATAAATAAAACTCAATGAAATCTATCTTTTACTTGCTGATGAATTAAATAGTTTTTTTGAGTTCAAAAATTGAAGTTTATGAGCTCATTAGTCAAAATTTCACAAAGCTACAAATAGAAATCTAACAGAAATTCTTCTTTCAGATAAGTGTTTGAAAATCATTAGCAAGCATGAGCCAGATTGAAAATATTAAAGAGTATTTGAAAACTGGAATATGACATTGAATTTACGAAAAGATACTAAAGAAAAAAGTGCATGCATGAAAAATAAAAATTAATAGTTGCTTCCAACAAAAGTTATATAAAATATAACTACACTTATAGATTTTTTTAAGAAGAATGGCATTCCTATTTAAAATTATAGTTTCATTAATAACTACGTGAAATAATTATAAATTAAATAAGAAACAAAATATCAATCATCAAAGATATCAAGATAATATTAGAATATATTATAAGAATATTATAATATCAAAAGACATTAAAATAATATTAAAAGAGATCAGAACAGTATTAAAAGTTTGAAATATATTAAAATTGTATTAATAAAAAATAACTTATAAATATTAAAAATATAAAATTATTAAAATATAAAATGATAACTAAATATAATATTTTGATATACTAAATTATAAAATATGTAAAAGATAAAAGATAAAAATATAATTGTATAAATGATAGTATAATAAAAACAAAAATTAAAATTATATAATTTTATATAATTTTACAAATTATAAAATTATAATTTTTCTATTACTACTATAATAATATATAATATAAAAATGAGATATAATATATAATATATATTATATATTAAAATTTTTTGATTAATATTATTAATAAAAAAAGAAATAATAAATTTATAAAATATAATTTATTATTTATTATTTTACTTTATTTTAATTAAATAATATCATTATTATTTATTAAAATTAATTAATATACTATTTTAATTAATATAAATATAGCTATATAAAAGATAAAGGGAATTTATAATAAAAAAATATTATAATAAAAGATATTATAATTATAAATTACTTTCTTATAAATATATTCTTTTATTATAATATCTAAATATAATATATATATATTAATATTAAAATTTTATAAGATATTCAGATATTTATTATTATAAATACAGTTATAAATATTTTTTATAATGATATTTTTTTATTATAAATATTAATATTAATAAATATTAATAAATATTAATAGATATTAATAAGTATTAATATATATTAAAAAATATTTTATTAAAATAATACAATTAATTTTAATTATTTAAATAATAAATATTTTTATTTTTATAAAATTAATTTAATTTATCTTTTAAAAAAATATTATTTTAAATTAATTATTTCTTTATTAATATTTTTTGAATTAATTATTACTTTTTTATTAGTATTATCTTAGTTATTTTTTAATTAATTATTATTTTTTTTATTAATTTTATTTCAATTATTTTCTAATTAATTATTACTTTTCTTATTAGTATTATTTAAATTACTATTGTAAATATAAGAATTTAAGATTAAAAGTAATAATTCAGATTATAATTAAAAATCATATATTTTTTTTATTTATTACATAAATTTGAAATTTTACAATATTTAAATAATTTTATAATAATTTTGAATCAATATTATTCTAATTATATTTAATTTATTATATAATTATATTATATATAGATTTTTAAATATGTCTAATTAAGATTACTTGTCAAAATTATTTTAAAAAATATTAAAATTCAGAAATTATATTAAATTATATATTAATAATTAATTAGTATTTGATATTTACCAGATTTATTATATTACTATATTTAAAAATATCAAAAGAATACTTATAAAGATTTCTAAAGATCAATAACAAAGATAATAATGATAAAACTTAAGATATAATCTAATAATAATAATATAAATATAATTATAGCTAAATAAAAATTAATATAAAATAATTGAATTTAGTTTCTATTAATCAACTTCAATAATATCAATTAAACTTAATTTCTATCAATAATAATAATGAATTTAAATTATTTATAATATTTTTTATTGCTTATACAGATAATAAGATTTAAAGTTTAATAAGATTTAAAGTTTAACAAGTAAAGATAAGTATTATTTATTTTATTTAATCAAGTATATTTTCTATTACAAAAAAACTCTTTTTTTATATATTTTTTTCTTTTTCTTTTCATATTATTCTAAATTTCTATGATTATTATATTTATTACAAATTATATAGTTTTAAATTCATGAGAAATTACAAGTAAAAATTTATAATTATACAAAAGAAATACTAAAAATATATGTATGAAAATATAAGAAAAAATATATATATATTAGTATATATTGAAAAATTTAAATCTTATAAAAAAAGATTGTATAAGTATATATATAATATATATATGATATAATTAATATAATTATTTTTGGTTAAAAATAATATTTTATTAATTTTAAAAATTATAAAAGTTTATAAAATTAAAATTAAATATTACTTTAGTAATCTTATATTTCAAATATCAAATAAGTACTTATTATTTTTTCAATCTATTTGTAATACATATATAATTATTATAAAAAGTAATATTTAATTTTTTTAAAAAATAAAATTTCAGATTTATTTTATTTTTGTCTTATGAATATAAAAATATTTTTTTATTGCTAGCTAATATATTATTAATTCTTTATATAACTCTAATATTACTTTGATTTCTCAAGATATTAAGTTTATAACCTTCTAAAAAGCTAACACATCAAATTTTCTTCAGAGTAGTCTTGAGTTTTTTTGTGATTCTTGAAAAGCTTATACACTTTAAAATATTATTCTCCAATAATTTGGAAACATTTCTATAAAGTTTGGATTATAAGAATATAATATCTATTGATTTTTTTATTTGATTCTATTTATAACTTCTTTCTTTATTGTCAATCAAGTTTTATTTTTTTGAAATATCATGTTCTCTCAAATCAATAAACAAATTATATTATAAAAAGAGATCAAATTATCTTAGAAAATCTTCAGATAAGTTTTTGCAAGAATTTTTTATTATCAGTATTATGAAATAACTTGTGATTTCTTTTTTTACTTCTTGTATATATATATTTTTTTTCTTGATTTTTAAAAGCCTACGATCTTCCAGATAGTGATAAATTTTGTTTTTCCTATCTCTTTTATACTTGACAAGAGACTATTATACTATAATCGGGTTACAACACATTTTTCTTGATTTGAGAGAACATAATATCCAAAAAAAAAATAAAACTTGATCTACATTCGGGAAAAAAAATGAAATAAATTCAAATAGAGTAAATCAGTGCCAAGCAAGCTGCAATAAACAAATTATATTATAAAAAGGGATCAAATTATCTTAGAGAATCTTCAGATAAGTTTTTGCACAGATTTTTTATTATTAATATCATGAAATGGCTTGGGATATCTTTTTTAGTTTCTTGCGTATATGCATTTTTCTTGATCATTATGAGCTTATGGTCTCTCAGACAGTGGTAAATTTTTGTTTTTCCTGTACATTTTATACTTGGCAAGAGACCATTATACTCTTACTGGATTCCGTCACATTTTTCTTGCAACTTGCTTGACACTCATAACTTCATAAAAATCACTATTTTATCCTTGTCAAAGATGGCCTACTGGTAAGACAGGTATCATATTTACACCTAAAAAAATTTCACCCAGTGTATGTTTAAAAGTAAAAAAAGTAAAAGAAGAAAATAATAAAAAAAAATTAGTAACAACAAATAACAAAAAATGGAAAAACGCGACGCATATGTTGTTACAAATGCAAATCGGGTACATGTATTACATATGCAACATTGATCATAAGTGATCAGTGCAGCACGTGTTTGGATAAATCACATGTACGGACAATTTCTTGCATACTGGGTACAGTCCCCAGTCTCACAAAAATACCACCATTTGATTCGTCTAGGCATGAAGAATCGAATGGCTGAGGTTTCAATCGTTAGGTATCGAGATATTGCACTGCGTCATAATATTTCTTTTTACCTTACTACTTATTTTATAATCAATTCCGTAATTTTAATTATATGTTTCTGAGAAAAATATATCATCATTAATTAAGGATATACTAATGAAATAATTATAAATTATGTTACATTTAGTTGCAATAATTTATAGTTTTGCGTTATAATATTCCTCTCGCCAAAATTCAAATTGTAGAACTGATAGCACTAATTGAAATCGCCAAATTAATCTGGGTCGTTAGCTCGCTTCTTTAGTAAACCAAGTGATCACTGAATCGAGCAATGAATTTTTTAATCGTGCAGAAAGTTCACCTTAATGAAAAAATAGTATGAATATCACTGGTTTAAAAGTGTCAGTTTATATATATCAAACGAGTTGGTATTTTTTCCTTTGATAATGGAAGATAAATTCCAATTTTAGACATTGTGCATTATAAAAATTTTATAACACATTACAAATTTTATTTCGTTCCGTTCCTTATATAGTTAGTCTGTGAATATACATATGATTTTCTAAAGCTTGCTTCATTATTTTTGATAATATGCGCGTTTTTGATGAATTATAATTTGTATGTCAATCAATGTAAGGATTATTAATGATAATAATAAATAATAACCAACGCTCATGTAGAGAAATGAAGCCGCAAACAATACATGTACTTTTGTTAAAATAAACAGTTTCTGAGTGCATTATAGAGTATCATAGAAAAAAGTACATGTAGTTATTCTTACAATCAAGTTACTTGTATTTTAACAAAAAACCGATCCGATCTGTAATATTTAACTCCAAAATCATATCGAAGCACGAATTGTTTTCCTCAATGGAAATATAATTCAACCAATGACTATCACCTGATGTTGACCGTGTAGTTGTCGTGGAACAATGATTCAAAAGATTTATGTTCGAGGAACACTGCCAATTATTTATTAAAATTAAGAAAGCAATCAAAACCAACCGGATATAATGAACCTTTTATAGTGTACACTTTAATTCATTATAGTCTACATATTAATCATATTAAATTTGTTTTAACTAATAGAATCGCTGACTTTATGAAATATCCTTTGATCATTATTATAACAATCCAATATTCAGTCGAATTATTGCCTGCATTATGTAACCTTCTTGCCTTTCTATATGAATTGAATTTTTTTTTCATGCTTATATAATATTTTCCAGAAACGAACGAACACTGTTTCATCAAATACTATAAATTTTTCAAATATTAATTAGATAATGAAGAAGAAAAGCATATAAAAAGGTAAAGTTTAATGGTGTATTATTTATATAGAGTTGACATAACGATAAATTCAGCAATGAATTTAAATTTCTATTATTACTTGTTGATCCATAATTACATGTGGGAATGAAACTTAAATAATTAAAAATTATAATTTCTCTTAACATATTCGTTTACAACATAAAAATTAACCTCTTAAGAATTAAGGTGATCTAAAAGTAGCTCGAAATTAATATGGCTAATATCTTCCAACCTAACAAGAAGTTCAGCATGTTCCACTCCCTTTATCACTTCATTCACCAAATCTTCGGGTATATACTCAAATGTTTCATCAATAGAACGGATCACATATTGCTTTCCCATTGGTGGTATTGTTTTATTAGTGGCGAATGCAATTAATGATGCAAAGTTTGTGTTCGCACCAATGGCAACGTTTTTTTTATATATTTGTATCTTGATCTGGATCTTATCGTCACTGACTTTAAGCTTGTTTCTAAATAAGGATATAAGTATGACTATAAATAAAAATAAATCGGCAATATTCAGATGATCAATTTACCTGCATTATGTAAAATTCTTGGTTTTCTATATATCATCAATTGAACTTCCTTAATATTATCATGAAATTCTTTCCAGAAACGATTGAATGCTAATTCATCGCTTAACCCGTAATGCTGTGAATTATTCAAATCACCAACTCGATAATGGAGGAGAGAAGTATCAACAGGATCCCATCGTGAAGGCAAGTTTAATGATGCAATAATCGTATAGAGTTGGCGTAAATTCTGTAATGGATCGGTAGAATTTAAATTGCTAAGCGACACATTTACTTGTTGATCCATCATTACGTGTGGAATGGATGTGACGTCGAAACAGACTAATGCAATTGTTTTTAATTGTTCTAAATTTTTTAATTTTATTAAATTAGTACTTAGTTCATAAAACAAAGAACTTGATTAATTAATTACCGACCATTACGAGAAGTAAAATGATTTTGAATTTGATATTCGCCACCATGAATTATTTGTCTTGCTACGCTGTTGTTGTTATTATAAACATCCATTCCTACTAGCATATTTGTTAAATCTACAGTAGGTGCCAAATTACTAGAAGTGGCACTAGATACATCTACAACTCTCATGTAGTCACTGGGATTGGTAGATGTAAACGTGACTTGTGGTTGATGATGAAAGATTAAATTTTTTCGAGTTTCCTCATAAACCTTTAGTTCGTTCAAAGCTTTCTTAATTATAGGACCAAATATCTGACCTTGCCAGCCAAATCCTAACGCGATGTTATAAGCTTGTATGTGTTGAAGATATTGTTCAAGTGATCCTGCTTTTATTAATGCTTTTCTTTTTACGTCAATATATTCTTGAAGTGATTCTTTTGTAATTGGAAAATAAGTTCTCGATTCACCAGGATATAAATTTTTAAGTACATTTATAAAATTAGTTACGCCGATCCTTGACGCTCTTGTATCTATACTTGGTGAATATTTGGTTTGTCGAATATTATTATTATTGTTATTATCGACTGGATCAGAGGATGAACATGGCGGAAAATTTTCTGTTGTTTCAACGTTATATAACTGATGTTGGCGAATTGGCGGCATATCACGCGTTTGTTCGTATTCTTTAAAGTGAAAACAAATAATTCTTTTGATAATGACTGCTTCAAAGCGGGGTCAAAAAAGGCTCTTTATTCTTATATATCTGTTTACAATTTATATACAGTATTGTAATAATATATATTGTTGCCGATTATATACGCATATTTTTGGAGGGAAATAAAGTTGCACTGGTATTTATACTATTCATTATATTTTTAGGTAATTTATTAGCCGCATATTGAACGATTAATTGTGCTACTTACATTTAATGATGAATTGTTCTACTTCATTTCTATAACAAGTAGCTTTACATTTAACGATGAATTGTGCTACTTCATTTTTATAAAAAGTAACCTTCCATTTAACATTTAATAAAGTATGTTTTGCTGATATTGAAAACCATTAACAACTCAACTTTGGCGCCTTATATTTTTAGGTAATTTATTTTTAATTATATGTAAAATGAAATTTGTATAACGAGTATTACTATTATTTATGAAAATGAATTATCGTTAAAATATCTTACGGCTCATCATGTAAAGACGAATCTAAAATTCAATATCTTTTACGGAGATACGTATTTTCATACGAATATACAAACTTACTATGAATTATATTAAAATGCGCAAAGAGCAGGAGCCTATTGATTATATACTGTAGTTAGTAACATTAGTGTAGTTAAATTTGGTAAATCAAATACTCTTATTTACAAAATCTCATAATGCAAAAAAAAGTAAAAATAATAATGTTTTTGTTATAATACTAAAATAAATGCTGTATAATTTATTATAATTCTTTATTCGAAAGCAAATTTGTTATTATTACAGAAAAACTTATCATTGAAAGGCAATACATGTACTATTCTTTACACTTGATTTTAAAAAGTCAAAGAACATCCATGCTATTTTCAGGAGATAATATTAAAAATAAAAAAATCCCATGTGTGTTAGAATAAATATTGTTATTGGTTCCTATAAAAAACAAATACACTGCGTATTCGCACTTTTCAACTTTGGTGATCAATTTTTCATGCAGCATTTAGGCATACGATGCGTGCTAAAAAATGTTCCTTTCGTTTTGGAAATGTTGATGAACTGCGTACAAATTCTTGTTTTCCATGTTAGAACAGTGACAGAAGCTAATTGGCCTATACGGAATCTGTTGTATTTCCGCGCTTTTACATACTAGACGTCATGCTGCATACTTGCCTTTTTTATACGAAAGTAATATCTTTAAATTAATCACGAAAATATTTATTTCTCTGAAATCTTATGATAAATGTAAATTGATCGGTTAAAACAAATTACTTAATACACAAATACTGTTTTCCAAGGTAATTTTTGAGATACTAATGATCATTTACAAAAATATAAATTTGGAATATTTACAAATAAATGTTTAGTGTTTCAAAAAAATTATTAAGAAATCTGCCTTTAGTCATTATTTAAAGTTGTCCAGCCGATATAATTATAGTTATTATCAAAAAATAAAAATGAATGAATAAACAAAATTTAATTATCAATGTTTAAAAACAAAATAATTAAATTGATAATGAATAAAATCAGAATAAATATTAATATTTATCAATATAAAGCTTTATGTTTTTTAATAAATTTAACCTTCATTACTTTCAGCCAGAACTTTAGAATCGCTTGGATGGAAAGGGTCTTTGTTACTTGTTTTGCCACGATACAGTTGTGATTGGGCAGAATTAATAATCTTTGGTCTGTGACAAGTGTTGGGAGGGAGAGATTAGACTGTTTATCATTCTGTGTATGCGTTTCAAAGAGAAAATAAAAGTGAATGATACGGTTAAGTGTGTGGGAATTGGGAGAGTTTCGAGATTATTTGCGACATGGGAATTTGTAAGGAAAAAATAAAATTTTAACTAGATTAAAAGTTTTTTTTAGATAAATTATATTATTATTTATATTATATTATAAGTTATATTTAAATATCAAATTATAAGAATAAGAATTGATGTATCGATAGATTATTTTGAAAAAAAGTTTAAGAGAGAGAAAAGGGGAATTACGTATATTAACTAATAATTGCTTTAATTCTTTAACCAATGCTTTTTCTAGCTAAAAGCCTTAAACTCGTATTAATCAAATTAATCAATTAATTCACTGATGTATTTGTCTTTTCTGGCATAAAGAACTTTTAACACAAAGAACCTAAGCAATCTATAATGATTATAATTACGAAGGGGATTTAACAAGTGGTTTATTACTTGGAGAAATATTTGCACGCAAGATTATTTCTACCGTTAATAAAAGGCCCGAGAAACATTCCTTATATACATTTTTTGTTAGCTTTTCTATTTATCGTTACAATTCTTATTACATTGTTAGAGCGCAACAGTTAAAAAAATAAAATAAACAATAGAGTATAACTAGAAAGAATCGTAACGAACATAGTGCTGAAGGATATGTGCAATTATGCTCAAATATGCGGACGATTATACTGAAAAATGTATATAATTGTGCAGACGATCGTGCTGAAAAACGGTTGTTGTGCTATGTTATTAGACAGGTTAACCCATTGTGCTGAGAACATGTGAGATTTCGTA